CTGCCCAAAGCCCTTCATTGATGGAGTGAAACAGGGCATATTTTATACGTATAAAAGACGTTGTTACTAAGTTGACATGTAATTTAATCATGGTTTTAGAATTATTTCTCTTCAGAATTAATACTCGTTGTTTGTGCCTGTTTTACAGTTGAGGTCGTTGAGATTCAGAGTTTTTAAATGACGATCCCCAAGCCTTTGCTTCTATAGGAATTTTTGCCCGTCATTTCAGCAGTTTTGTCACTAGGATTTAATTATTTCTTCAAATTCTCTGCTGCCACCAGACTTGGGACATGCTAAAAAGCATAACTTCTCTCTTACTTATCATTATTCCCTCCAGACCCTGGCACTTACTGGGGTACTCAGTATATGCTTGTTGAGTGGAGGAGTGAGCAGATAACTAACTGAAAGTATGTACGTCACCAAAACAAAGAATGGCACCCTGGGCCAACTGTTGATAGACCAGACAGCATCAGGGTTGGGGTGAGGACATCAGAGCCCAGCTTTCTTGGTTCACCTACCAGCTCCATCTCCTGCATCAAGGAACTTGACAATGACATTTCCTATTTTATAATGTTCATGTGAGCATTAAATGAGTCCATGCCTGTCCATCTTAATTGTGCTTTACAAATTTAAATTCAAGGCCCCAAAGATTATGTAATTAGCGCATTAATATTTAAAATTTTTGATTAATATAAGAAATCGGAGTGAGTATAATTTGACATTGACTGAATAAGAGGAAGCAAAATACTTTTAAATGTGGCTTATTACTGTGCATTTGATAGTCCTGGAAATTCAGACTAAATTTACATTTTAGCTTTAGCATGAAATATTTAAGAGTGCATTATTCGAGATAGTATGAAGTTTTAAAACATTTAAACTTTATGAGATGATAGAATTAACCTTTTCTTCCAAATTTTATTTTCTTTCATTGTTAAATGAGCATTCAGTCAGAAAAGTAATTTATTAGTGATTATCACGGAGGTTGTGGTCCTGCTAGGTGAGCTGTGTTATTAGATATAGGCCAAAATTTAGACTGTTATACCGAAAATAAGTATTCCCCTGTTGTTCTATTAAAGACTGTGTATTTCAAAACCAATTTAACATGAAAATTACCCCACTAGGGGTGCCTGGGTAGCTCAGTCAGTTAAGCCTCTGAGTCTTGATTTCAGCTCAGGTTGTGATGGCATGGTTTGCGAGATTAAGCCCCGCCTGGGGCTCTGTGCTCACAGCCTGGAGCTTGCTTGGGATTCTCTCTCCCTCCCTCTCTGCCCCTCCTCACCCTCTCTCTCAAAATAAACAAACATTAAAAAAGAAAATTATCCATCAAATGTGACTTCTTTTCCAAGAATTCTTTAATCCCTTTCTGGTCGGGTCCAGTATTCACATACACTTCATTAAAGGCACAGAGGGGAGAAACCTCACAAGGCGTCATGTATTTTTGCCGTGTGTTGGCTTGAGCCATTCCCGAGCATGAGGGAGTCACCATGGAGCTTGTCCCTTTAGCCTAACACTTGTCAAAGCGAATTGATCAACAGCAATGATAGGAGTAGCCATGATGGTTATGCAGCTCACCAAAGCTCAAAGAACAGAGCCTGTCTGGGTCTCATTTGTTTTTCCCCCTCAGTGTACACAGAACTGCTTTGGGGCCTCAATTTCATATCACGTTGTTTCTCATGGGAAGAAGCAAGAATTCCAGAACGGTGTGAAGTGGAAAGGCTCTGCTTCCTTTTGTTATGCACCTTGTAATCTGGTGCGGCAGAACGGCATGGGTTGATCACCATGAGGCAAGCGTCTGTTTTCACGGTTTGATGGAAACTTCTTTCTGATTCATTAAAACGTGTGCTAAGAAAGACAACAGTCTCCGAGAATTATGTTTTATTATGCACAGATACAATTTTTATAGTCTCATACTAAAACAGATATTCCAGCATACTTTTTATATATACATACTCCCTGAAGAATTTATTACTCTGCTCTTCTCTGAGGTCAGTTAGTGCCCTTCTTACTGTTGTGCTACTGCCACATTAAGCTGTTGTGCGTTAAGCCTGTTGCCCCTTTATAAAATATCTTGACTGGTATATCTGCTCCTTAAAAGAAACAGCTGAATCCTAGAATGTGCATCGAGGCAAGAAAATTTTAGTAACCCAAAGGTTTGCCAGACACCTTTAAAAGATGTCCTAGTTTTAGATATTCTACAGATACCTCTCCCCTTTTGTTCTGTAATTTTTAAGGATTAGAAGTTCAACTGATCATGGTATCTGGTCTAGGAGAAGTGGAGCCCTCCAGCAGGGCTACCTGGAAAAATGAAATTATTGTATGGAATAAAATAATGTTACTGTACTTTTCGGAACACTGGATTTATTATAGAAACGATTTTCTTTTTAGTTTTTAAAATTATAAAAATACTTCAGTCGGTTGAGCGTCCGACTTCAGCTCAGGTCACGATCTCACGGTTCGTGAGTTCGAGCCCCGCGTCAGGCTCTGGGCTGATGGCTCAGAGCCTGGAGCCTGCTTCCGATTCTGTGTCTCCCTCTCTCTCTCTGCCCCTCCCCCATTCATGCTCTGTCTCTCTCTGTCTCAAAAATAAACATTAAAAAAATAAAATAAAATAAAATTATAAAAATACAGTTATTTTTTCGTTTATCCCAAAGGAGGGGTGTGTGTGTGTGTGTGTGTGTGTGTTGTGTGTGTGTGTGTGTGTGCATATAAGTGTGTGTTCTTACAGTTCCCCAAATACATTTTAACACAAACTCATACATTTCCCCTTTGATATTACTGTGCTTATTGTCCCAAATAGAAAGTCATGTGGTAGGGAGACAGCCAAGAAAAGAGAAGACCTGGTCTGGCCCCAAATTTACCATGTACTATTGATGTGCTTCTGGCTTTTACTTTCCACGTTTTCTAAGCGGAGATAATACAGTCCTGAGTTACAAAGTATGCCTTGTCTGTCTGTCCAGGCTGCTGGGAGAATGGGATTGTAGAGAGCCCAGGACAGTGCTTTGCCCACAGAGGCTCTCAGGAGTGGTATCTGGGATTAGTTACATCATTTACTATCCTTACAAGTGACACCGGAAGGGGTCAGCAGACCTGGTTATGGTTAAGACCTTTGCTCCTGGGGAGCCATTTCACATCTCAAAGCTGGTTTCCTTACCTCTGAAATAGAGCACAGCATCTGCTTGGATGACTTGAAATGACTGTTGTGAGGGTTATAGAAAATAATAATGTGTTAGGTAAGCGTAAACAGTGGTAGTTTTCACACGCTCTGTCTGGTGCTAAGTTCCCACCCCTGAGAGGGAGTCTCAGAGGAGGAGGGGAGTCACCCTGCTCGCATGTGGGAGGAATGCTTAAAGACGACTTTTGTTTCAGTAATGTGATAATTAGGGTTCTGGGAGGCTGTGTGGTGCTCTATTTGCAGGGGGCGGGGTGTGGAACAGGAGAAAGGATATGTGGAAAACAGTGTCAGAGAAATTGAATCTCAGTGGTGTCTTTCATTTAACCTTCTCATTCCTGCTTCTTTATGTTACTGTTCCCATAGGATCCTGATTATAGGCTGACGTTTGAAAGAGAGTGACATTACTGATCAGGGAAAGCTGAGCTTCATTTAGATAACAAAAAGTGATCAAAGCAATGAGATGCAAAGAGTTAGAAATAAGCTTGGCCCATGGCAGGACATGTAGGGATGGTGGCTGAGGAGCTAAGAGAGCTTCTGTCGGAATTAGAAATATGGAGATGCGGAGGGTCCATGAAAACACCTGAGAAATTAAAAATAAGAAATTGCCCATGTTCAATTAGCATTCTTCTTAAAGAGGTGTGTTTGTATGTGTGTAAAGTAAGGAGGGAGAATTTTGGTAGGCTGGACTTAAAGGATTTGTTAGCTTAGAATATTCACCTTCATCTGCCACATCAGTGAGGATGGCTTCTGGCATCCCACGAAAAGTTAAAATGTGCCTCAAGGAAGAATTATAAAACTCTAAAAAAGATTGTGATTCAAGGAGCTTCAGAGTCCTATACAAGTTTGTATTGTGATGAGGGTTGGATGTTGTACGGAAGTGATGAATCACTGAATTCTACCGAAACTAATATACATTAACTAACTAGAATTTAAATAAAAACCTAAAAAAATCGTATACAAGTTTATTCACTGCTTATAAATATGTCCTTGTCTCTGATTACCAATATGTTTGATTAAAGATACTTGTCATTTATTCACATTTAAACACGTGCTGATGAAGATTGTAAGCATAATGTTGAGAATTGTATGCCTGACGTAAAGTGGGGGGAGAGACAAATGATTGAGGAGAAAAGTAGAGTGGAAAATTACCTTTTGGGATTTAAGTGACTCATTATAATAAAGGATAGAAAAGACCTTAAAAGCTATTTGAAAAAAAAATATGTGTCTCATTCACTTTTAAATATCCATGTTCTGTTAGTTTCCTTCTTAGTAAATAGGTGTCTTTCCTTTGCTCTTAGGGATGAAGAGAATGAACTGAGATATCCAAGTGATGGCATTTTTGTTCTTTCATTTTTCCTTTTATTGACACTGATAGAGCATATTTTACTCTTTTTCCTGACTATGGATTGCCTAAGACTGAACTCGTTTAGCTGTCCTTTCCGTCAGAAGAATTGAGCGATCCACACTGGTTAGTCTCCAAATTATAAAAGGTATCATCTGCTTTAAAAAAAAATTTTTTTTATGTTTATTCATTTTTAAAAAAAAAATTTTTTTTCAACGTTTTTATTTATTTTTGGGACAGAGAGAGACAGAGCATGAACGGGGGAGGGGCAGAGAGAGAGGGAGACACAGAATCGGAAACAGGCTCCAGGCTCTGAGCCATCAGCCCAGAGCCCGACACGGGGCTCGAACTCACGGACCGCGAGATCGTGACCTGGCTGAAGTCGGACGCTTAACCGACTGCGCCACCCAGGCGCCCCAGTTTATTCATTTTTGAAAGACAGAGAGACAGAGCACAAGCAGGGTTGGGCAGAGAGGGAGACACAGAATCTGAAGCAGGCTCCGGGCTCTGAGCTGTCAACACATAGCCCAACGCGGGGCTCGAACTCACGAACTGTGAGATCATGACCTGAGCTGAAGTCGGACGCTCACCCGAGCGAGCCACTCTGGCGTCCCGGTATCATCTGGCTTTTTAAACGAACACATACATATGGTATAGAAAGAGATCAGTCGCTCAAAAGAGGGAAAACACTTTGAATCTCAAAAATTAACAATTGGTACTTACGAACAAAGCTGGGTTATTCTCCTGGAGATCACAGTCTTCTATCCCAAGAATAACACAGTTTAAATTTGTCTACCCGTTTTGTCATTTGGCTTCAACTACATGTATCGGTGAGAAATGGTTTTTGCTTCCTTCTTGGTTGACATTAGCAGGACCTATATTTTTTGATCTAGACACTTGAGCAGGACAAATGACAATGCAAACTTCAAATCATCTGATTTACAAGAGGGACCCAAACTGATTGGCTTACTAACAGGTTGCTGAGTGTTTTTAGTTAACTATCATTTATCATGTAGTTGGTCTTTAACTGTCTACATGGGATGGATCTAGTGGTATGCTGGTAACTTTGACAAGCTGCTCTTGGAGGAGAAAGAAAGAACCATCTTGGTCTGTCATGTTTGCTGATTTTTGTAGTATCATGACTAATTTCAAGCTATCAATATGAGGTCACTGAAAGTGGGGTTGAGAGGAGATTCCCATGATCAGCTCATGCCCTAGCTCTAGCCCTCCCTGAAGGGGTCAGCATTTCCAAATCCCTAAATTTCCATTCTAGGGTTTGAGAGAGGCATGGAGTACAAGATGAACAATGCTTCTAGAGACCTCTACCAGATGGCGAATATGAGTGCTCTCTGTGAGCAGAGCTCTGTGCTCCAGGTCCCTTCTGAGATCCAAAGAGCAAATTCTTTAGTGATTCATGGCAAATTAAAAAAGCCAGAAGAAGGTTCAGACATTAAGTAAAATACCCTTGTTGTACAGTACCTACCTTTGCATCACTTGCAGTCAGACTGGACTCATGTTGTAAAACTCAAGACAGAGTAGTACCCACAGCATATTCCCAAGAGAGAGTTAGAAAATTATAATCTTATTGCCTCTTGAAAACGTTGGCCTTTTCCCTCTTTGTTCAACTTCTCCCAGGATACCTGCTTGTCAAGTTTTCAGTAGCTTCTTTTGGCTTTGTCATGGCAACCAAGTATCTTGGCCCAGGGCCCTAATGATTTCCAAATGTTTAATTATCTCTAGTTTCTGATATGCTTCTCCTGTCATTTTTTAAAGTATCTTCACCCTGACACTTCTCGAATAGATCCTTGGTTTGTGCTTATAGTCAGATTAGTATTCTACTACTTCTCCCCTCCTCCAATTGATTTTTCATATTTGTTTGAAGCAAAGACAGCCCCCATATTATACTGTCACATAATAAAACTCTAAGCCCCACGCCCATATCCCAAACCCTGTTGGTTAAGGTTAGGGGTACCTAAAAATTGTACATCCATTCAGTAATCATCTGTAGTAATATTAACTCACAGTCAGTTTTTTTAATTGATAGAGCACAATGATGAAACACTTCTTCCCTGCTTTTGCCATTTAAATCATTCACTCATCCCTGAATCTCCTTCCCTTCTCCTTTTCCTTACCCCTCTCCTTCAAGATTTATCTCAGGAATCACCCTTGCTATGACATCTTCCCAAATTGGCCTCCTCTGCTCCCAGACCTGAGTAGGGATTCCTCTCATTCTTCTTCTCGGGGATCCCATACCACTCTGTTGACCCTTCTGTAAGTACCTCTGCATTTATTACAACTGATATGGTATATTCCTCCCCAAATTTTATTCTGAAAACTTTCAAACACAGCAAAATTGCAACACTGGTATTATAAATATGCATATACCATTCAAGTGGATTTGCCAAGTATATTTATGTGTTAATGTACATTTTTTTTTTCCTGAATCCAGGGGGAAATAAGTTGCATGTATCCGCTCCTTTGGCTAGGCAGCCCTGACTGAGATGCTTCTGTCCTTGGATTAATTATACTCAATAGCTTTTTAAGGATTTATTTCTTGATTTGTTCATTCCTCACATATTTATTAAATAGCCACTATGTAACAGACACTGAGGCTGAACCTTGAAGGCTTCGGGGAGTAGATGGCTTGACTATAGAATATGTATGTAATTGAGGATGGTTAGATCATAAGGAGAGGATAAAATGTTACCACTGTAAAGGGAGAAAATAACCCATATACCCAGACCTATGAAAGTACCATCATTCGTTGATTTATGGTTCGGTCATTCAGTCACCATTGTTTAGAATCTGTTCGATACCAGGTACTTCCAGGGGCTCTGAGACTTCACAGTTGAAGCTTCTTAGCTTTAAAGATTCAGTCTCACATACGAGACACAGAAGGTCATCAGAGCACGTTTTGGAATATGTTCGTTGATGGAGGTCCCCAGGATACTATGGAAACAGAGGAGAAAGAAGGCAGGGCAGGCCTCCTGAGTAGTTCCAGTGATATTTGGATAGCAAGCCCAAGGATGACGGCATAAACCAGGCAGACAAAAAGAGATTAAAGCACATTTGAGATGAAGCGTTAGTACCTTTCAAGTTAAGCGTTGCCAAAGTATGGAGTGGCCGAGGAACTGCTAGCAGTTTCGTGTGACTGGAATGGCATTTGTTAGGGGGCAGTTATGAAAAAAAGGGAAGGCACAGGGCTGGAAGCTAAGGCCCACATTATGAGGGACTTTGTGAGTTCAACTGAAGAGTTGAATGTTTACCTAAAAGCTATGGGAAACCATTGAATTGTCCAGGTGGGGTAGTGATAGCTACCAGATTTGTGTTTTAGTAAGCCCGGCCTGAAGACAATAGGGAAATGGATAAATATTTGTATTTTTAACTTGGGGAAGCCAAATATTGCTGTAACAGAAGAATTAACTCAAAGAATAAAAGTGATCTAATGGCAGGGTTGGCTAATTATTATGCATTTGATACATTAACCAAATTACTGATACCTCCACCAATGCCTCTTACCCAAGAACCGACTTTATTTTCGTTCAGACATTTTCTCCTAAGATAACTGACAAGTAAAATGTTAAAATGTAGCTCACAATAAGGAGTTAGTAGTCTCTGCAGCTAATACTGCTCCCAAGAAGAAGTGAGAGAGAGACAGAGAAGCAGGAGAAAGAGAGGAGGGGTTGCTCTAATTAGACACCTGGCTTTGCAGTGTACTGGATGTGATTTAAAGCATTTTATTTCTTGCTGCAAAACTCTTTCTGTTGAGTAAATGAGTAGGAATTAATCAATGAAAACATGACAGTGGTTTTGGAGATTTTATCATTGATGTAATGTTTTTGTTTATTGGGCCAATTAAGCCTGATTGACTTGCAGATTGCAACAGCTCTAACAAAGCACCCACTGCCCACATTTCAATTCTCTGTTCCCAGTGCAGTGAGATCCACTGGCAGGGTTGTGTCAGAGATGGCAATGAGAGGGGTCACTGATGCAGATGTGTAAAGTCTGTGATGTGGATTCAAAAAACTTTCTTAGCCATATTACTTTAAAATATCACCTTGTGGGGCGCCTGGGTGGCGCAGTCGGTTAAGCGTCCGACTTCAGCCAGGTCACGATCTCGCGGTCCGTGAGTTCGAGCCCCGCGTCGGGCTCTGGGCTGATGGCTCAGAGCCTGGAGCCTGTTTCCGATTCTGTGCCTCCCTCTCTCTCTGCCCCTCCCCCGTTCATGCTCTGTCTCTCTCTGTCCCAAAAATAAATAAACGTTGAAAAAAAAATTAAAAAAAAAATAAATAAAATAAAATATCACCTTGTGTTTGTCTTCCACTCCTACAGATAGCATAGTTCTGACTTTAAGGTTAATGCCACAAAAGCATATGTCAGTTTCTGAAGGACATGCTATTAAATTGACTTTGATGTGGACTAGGGTTGCTCAGCCTCAGCACTATTGACATTTTGGACCTCATAGTTATTTGTTGTTGGGGGCTGTCCTGTATAGTATAGGACGCTCAGCAGCATCCCTGACCTCTACCCACTAGATGCCAGGAGCACTTTTTTTCTCAGCCTTTAGTTCTTACAACCAAACTTGTCTCCAGATGTTGTCAAATGTCCCCTGGTGAGCAAAATTATCCCTTCCTCAGAACTATGGGTTAGACTTTTACGGGCTAAAATAAAACAAAAATAGTAGTTCAGTTAACCTTTCCATGAGCTAATTGCATGTATTCATTCCTCAAAAACAAATCTATGTATTTATATAGATACAGAAAAGATCTAGATAATGTTTTTGGTACTTTGCTGAATGCTCGGATTTACAAACTATTTTACAGAAGGAACAGGTATGAAATACCTGTGGAATTGTCTAAATATTTGTGAAGTTTCCATATTTTTGGTGGAAAGGAAACTGCATCACCGAAATATATATCGGATAAAGTAGGTAAATTTCCATGAAAAATTCCGATTTTTGCATATTAATAGCAGAATTAGGACTAACTTTGTAAGAACATGATAAAAGATAGTCCTTTTCAGCCATGTTTCTAATAGTGGAACTATGCATTTGATTTAGAATTTCATTTGCATCTAAAAATTTAATGTCTGTTTTACTTCTGAGATGTTATTACTAGCATCTGAAGATAGCATTGAGAGCTACAGATTTAAATAGTAACTGTAACTTATACATACCTTACACACCAAAGAACCCAATCTTTACTCAAAAATGTTAACTCAATTGTTAATTTTATAGATTGAGGCACAAGATACCAGGATAAAGGGTGTTGCAGTAAGGATTTAGTTGGGATATAATAGTCTCATTAAGTTAAATAGAAGTGTTAGAACTCTTCCAGCTAAAGTCATAGATCAATAAGTTTCAAAGAGGAGTAGGATAACAGTGGTAGTTAAAGGAATAAGCCCAATGAAATTAATTTCTTTCTTAGCCCAGTATTAAACTAGCATTTTTTTTTTCAATAAGCTTTTACCAAACATTGACTATATGTCAGACATTGTGGTGACTGGCCATGTGCTTACACTTACGTGATTTTATTCATTCTGTAAACAGCCCACTGAGGCAGGTATTGATAGTTCAGCTTTCCAGAACACTAGACGTTACATGCTTAAGTACATGTCATGTAACTGGTTAATTTCAGCACCAGAGATTGGGCCTAAATGTTACCATCCTTTCTTCACTGTATCTATTCACCAAGCACCTACAAGGTAGCGGGTAGTTTGCAATGCAGAACACATACGTCAAGTCTTGCCCTTTTGTGGATAATAGTCCTCAGCAGATCTCTCTCACACTTCATTCTTTTTCATGCTTTTTTTCTCCCATAATTGAGAATGAGATCCATCATTCATGCAGCTGATAGCCCCAGGGAACATAACCTGTGTTGATACAGTAGCCATGTTCCATCAAAATCTTTCTGTAGAGAGAATATCTGTCAGGTGAATTTTTTGCTCCCACAGTACATTATAAATTCAGGATGCCCCTATTCTTCACACAGAACTTCTGGAATAGAGTTGCTTCTTTCTCTGATTTGATCAAAGTTATGTAATTGATAGAGACAATAATACCATCTTTGTTTAGTAGTGCCTGCATCTTTTATATTTAAAATTCCTTAAGACAAGAGACATCTGTGTACAATGTAACTATAGTGTGACTTACAATAACTTTGTGTTTTTGTTATCTCAGCAAGAGATCACTTGCCAGGGGACAATGCGTTCTTTGTGATTTCTAGTAAAACACTGTTTTTACATGTCCAGCATATGTACAGCATGGTGGAGGTCAGGAAGGATAAATTCATTACATGCCAGCCATCCTTCCAGAAATCCACCTCACGTCAGTTGATGTGGAAGCTGAAACCCGTCTGACATCCCAGATGATGTAGTAATCAGATAAGTCCCCTGAACTGTAAAACGGAAGCTTTAACTGCACTACATATTTATGGCCTAAATTGACCACTTAGCGACCAGATTTAATTTGAAAGTAAAAATCTAAATATCTTAAACATTTTATTTGGAACATATTTATAACTTCAGACTCTTTTCCAAACCCAATCCTGCCAACATGATTTAGCTTCTCATAAAATATTTTAAAGTATTCAGGTTTTGACGGAAACCTCCAACCTGGAAAAAAAAAAAAAAAAAAAAGAAGTCAGGCCTCGTGAGAGATTGCAGACGAGTAGACAGATCTGTTTTTACAAAGGTGCAAATGAATCCAATTTGTTATTTTTTTGACTTGTCCTGCCTTTGACTAGGCATAACCACTTTTGAGGTTTAAAGAAAGGTCCAGGACAGGCCATGTTAGGACCTTGGTTAAGAATGTACTAGAAGCTCCACGGGAATGGACTGCTTTGCCTGAATGCTGCAGTGTCTTCTGTCACACTGAGGTTAGCCTTTTATAACTGGTGATTCTTTTGGGAAGTTCTTCAGAGGATAGCAGTCACTTACCGTATGCACTGCCACACACAGGATGGTGGCAGGCGGCTTAGGTAGCCAGCACTTAAGTATGTTAGAAATTTGAAATACCTGGGTATTTCAGTGATCTTAAAACCTACCAAATATGTATTGAAATAAATTTTCCAAAGACTAATCCCAAAAGTGTGTTGTTTAGCAGGGTGTACATTTTGAAATCGAAATGTATATGTGGCCTAAATAATTTTCTGTTACTTTTTATAGTTCTGAAGTCTCTTTTGTTACTTGATTAGCTAAGCGAAAGTAGCACATGACTTAACTCTTCAGGTCCCAGCAAACAAAGAGATAAAATGGTTGAATGTTCGCGGTTCCCACCTTGCTTCACTACGAGCCAAGATAGCTCGCACATTAATATTGTCATCTTTTGTTCTCTGTGTGAAGTCGTAAAGCCTTTTTCAAATTTTGAGATCTCAAATTGGATGGATGTAACTGAACCTTTCAGCTCAGTTTATCTTCCCTAATATGGAGATTGCCAAAAAGACGTATTAGAGTTTATGTTGGTGATGTTAGGTAGTTAATTTTTTTCTTTTAAATACAGCTTCTGAAAATAAAATTTAAGCTTTTGCTTAATTTTACTTTGTCTTAATAGCAGTTTCTTAACAATTGATATAGCCTTGAGTTTGGTGTAACAGGGCAACAGGACTAAATTATTTTAATTATGCAATTCTGTTAAACACCTTTTACAAGGCTGAAAGTCTATGTGTTTTATTTTCCCCCCTGAAAGTTCCAAGATAGTTTCAAGGGACTTTCTCTCTTCAGAGATATTCTGTCAGCTTAAGAGATACCTCTCATATATACACATACACATATAAATCTTTGTGTATGTGTGTGTATATATATATATATATAGTAGTGGGTAGGGAGAGGGAAGATAAATTTTTAGACTCGGAGATATAAAGGAATCTTTCAAAAGCTCAAACAAGGCAGCCTGTGTCAAGACCGACATGTAGAGGAATGCTAAGTTTGCTATAACCTAGGAGGACGGCAAGAATGACCTTCCATGAGTCTTCATTCTTGATCTACAAAATTAGGTGGTTGGCCAAACACTGTTTCTAAATTCTCTTCCATCTCGGGCGCCTGGGTGGCTCAGAAGGTTAAGCGTTGGTTCTTGGTTTCAGCTCAGGTCATGATCTCACAGTTTGTGAGTTCAAGCCCAGCATCGGGTTCTGCACTGACAGTTGTAGAGCCTGCTTGGGATTCTCCCTCTCTCTCTGCCCTCCCCTGCTCATGCTTGCTCTCTCTCTCTCTCTCTCTCTCTCTCTCTCAAAATAAATAAATACAAACTTTTAAAACACTTTAAAAAACAAATAAATTCTCTTTCAACTCTTAAGATTCCATAATTTATTAACTGCCAAATTAAAATTGGGGAGGGTGGGGGGAAGAAACCAGTAGTCTCAAGTGATCACAGTGGAGCTAAAAGGCTGTTAACTGGGTCTGTAATCCTAGCCAGAGGGTTTGTTGTTGTTTGAATATTGAGTAACAACTTTCCAAACTTGAATTTCATTACCATCAGAAGTGTCTTATTCTGGTCTGAAAGACCAATATATCTCTGATTTCAAGATGTAATTTTCAGGGAAAGTACAAATCTTTATCACATGTAATTTTTACCAGTTGATTTTTATAGCACTTAATTTTATTCCATTTCAATCCATTTTTCTTTTTATTTTGCTGTGTGAGTCATCTCGCTGAACTTTACAGAGTATAATGTAATATCCTCACCACCTAATAAGCTGGCAGATACATTTCCATTTGAATGTAGATGCTATGGAAAATGTAACTGAATTAGGCTATAATGCCTCACTTACTTTTAAGTGGTCCATGTTGGAAGATTAATGAAAGAATTGTAACAGTTTATTGTTATATTTTAGACATGCGGCAGTCTGATGCTTTGGGAGGGTAGACTATGACAAGTTGCAGGGCTGAAATTTAAATATGTAGGCATAATGAAAAGACAAACATTGGAGCCAACTAGGAAAGTGAGCAAGCAATTGAATGTCATTGTCATTCTTTGTTGTTTTACTATTCATTATGAAAATGAGGGACATCAAAATAATTGCTTACTAATGTCAGTTTAGATCGTGAATTAACACAAATCTTCTTAAGGTACCATCTCATTTGCCCTTAATTAACAGTCAAGAAATACTTCGCAGAATATTAGACATTAAGAGTTGGATGTAGCAAAGATAGCCTGAGTAATAGTGTCCCTAATTTTATAATGAAATTGAGAATGTATTATGTATTTATTTAAATTAATTAAAGCCTTTATTCTCAGGGAAAAAACATTAGACATAATTTATATTTGACTCTCAATTGGTTTGGTTAATTTAGGGAAAGTAGTGACTTAATGCGAAACTCCACGTTTATAGGTTTCTAAGTTTTTTAAACGAGGATTTTCAAACGAGTGGAGAGAATGCCATAATGTACCACGATCCAGTGTTGACAGTTTTTGGTATTTGTTAATCTAGTTGCTTCTATCATCCCAATTTTTGGGGTGTGGGGCACTGTAGGGTCAAGTATTTTAAAGCAAATCCTAAATGGCATATCTCATGTAAATTCTTTAATATGTCTCTTCTACATATAAAGAATTTTTTTTTTAAATAAGGATCTCCTTTATCTTTTCGTCTTTAGAAACATTTAAGTTGAAAGTAACTATGAATTAGGAGAAAAGAGTAGCCCGACTACAGAAGGAGCACTTATAAAAGTCACCTCTTATTATAAACCATGTTCTTTCCTTTATTGTTTGAAAATTCTCCGATTTTTAAAAGCCCAACCGAAGACATGGTTAGTTTTGTTGTTAGCTTTTTTTTGTTTGTTTGTTTTTGTTTTTGCAAGCAGAGGGGGTTGAATATCCCTCTTCATTTTTTGCATAGCGGGCACGTGCAATGACCCGATGAAATGAGATGCTCCGGGCATCTTCGCTGGGAAAACATCTGTACTGCTTTCTGTAATCGGTGTCAGCCACCAGTGTCTCCCAGCAGCACTGCCAGTGGTCACTTCCCAGCTCTATTATAAATCATTAAGTAGCCCCACTACAGTGGCTTAAACCCATAGAGCTGACAGATCGGCCCTGGCATTCCCCTGACACACCGTGACCATTCAAGCAAGGGTGTCAACTGGGCGTCGAAGGAAGCCAACTGAAAATGGGCAGGATGTGATTGCCAGGAAAGTGAAATTGATGTATTACTTGTGGAATAATCTAAATAAAATTTGCCAAGCAAGAATGAAGTGTTCAGTGTATATCTGAACATGGAAAGATAATTGAAAAAACAGAGGAGGACTTTAGGGGTGCTGGAATTGTTAACAAGGCAGATTGCCACCCCGTCGTCTCCTGCCTCCAGCCCACAGATCCTCTGCACTCTCATAGGTCAGGAAAGGACTTGTCATTATTTTCCCATGGACAAGGAAAAACTGGCTTCATCGTGTGTTGCTTCTTGAAATATGTCTGTTATTCTTATATCTTATATGGCAAAGAAGATATCTTTGAAACATGTACATTACAAGGAGTTAAGACTATTAGCTCCTTTTGAGAATAGTTATATATTGCAGTGAATAAAGATGGGTTTGCCCAAGAGGACTTTTTTTTTTTTTTCCTCCTGCAAATAAAGCCTCGGTGCTAAAAGGCTCCTCTTGGCAAACGGTTTATAGCTCTTTTCACAATGAAGTGTAGAGAATTGAAGATTAATTCCATTGAAATCATAAATGCATTGCAGTCTGTAGATTATCAGTTAGTCAAGATAAACACCACTGATTACTGTTGAATTATGCATACAAATATTTACAATATTTTGGGTAATGAATTCATAAAAATAAATAATAATTATAATAATAGAGACCTTGTACTTAAGTTCCCATATATTTCTCAAATCCTTAGAGGAATTTCCAACTAGTTAATGCTATTATATAATTTAACAAGGGTTAAGAAGTATTTTGCAATGCAATGGTAGCCACATTTACTTCGCTTTAGACTAAAAATCCAAGTTTAGATATTAACCCTTTGTTTCCTGGAGAAATTTCTCTATATTTTTATATTCTTGCTATAGGACACATCAATATATTCATAAATTAATAGTAAAAAATTTTTAAGTTTATTGTTTTTGAGAGAGAGAGAGAGAGAGAGAGAGGGAGGGAGGGAGGGAGGGGCAGAGAGAGAGGGAGACACAGAATTCCAAGCAGGCTCCAGGCTCTGAGCTGTCAGCACAGAGCCCAATGCGAGGCTCGAACTCACAACCGCGAGATCATGACCTGAGCTGAAGTCAGACACTTTACCGACTGAACCATCCAGGAGGCCCCATAAATTAATAGTTTTAAGTATAATTTGGAATTACAGTTTACAAAAGAAGGGTTTTTTTTTTTAATTTTTTTCAGCAACACTGTTTAAATTCATGACTGAAAATGTAAAAGTAAAAATGTAGGCCCTTTTTTAAGACTGTATACAGATATTTGACTCAAATGTTCTCACATATTGTCTTGAAAGGATATTGTCTTGAAAGGATATAAACTGAACTGTACCTAAATTGTTTATATCAACTGTTTCAATCTTTTGTTTAATACCCCGATACAGCTCTGTCTTCCTAGTTGGGATCTCTTAAATTAGAGATTCTTTGAGAGTGCATTGTTATTTGTGGTTTATACCTGAAATATGAAGCTGTTTTAGAAGCAGAAAGAAATGTTTATGG